ACTCAATGGTGAAAGAATGAAAACTTGTCCTTTAAAGTCAGGAACATGTCACAGATGCCCATTCTCACCACTCCTATTCAACATAGTACTGGAAGTCCTGATGAGAGCAATCAGGCAAGAAAAAACATAAGAAGTGAAAAGGAAGAAATTTGCAAATGATGTAATTTTATATCCAGAAAATCCTGAAGACTCAACCAAAAAACTGTTGGATCTAATCAAGAATTCAGTAAAGTTGTAGGATACAAAATTAACATTAAAAAAATCAGTGTTTCTATACTAACAATAATTTTTTAAAAAAATAACATGAAGAAATTGATTCTATTTATAATAGCATCAAAACCAATAAAATACTTAGTAATAAATTTAACTAAAAAGAGGAAAGATCTCTATTCTGAAAACTATAAGACATTGGTGAAAGAAATTGAAGAAGACACAAATGGAAAGATAACCAAAGATGTGTTCATGAATTAAAAGAATTAATATTGTTATAATGTCAATACTACCAAAGCCAATACTATGCACTCTCTATCAAGATTCCAGTGGCATATTTTTACAGAAGTAGAAAAAGCACTCCTAAAATTTATATGGAACAGAAGATCCCAAATAGCCAAAGAAATCCCGAGACAGAAGAACAAAGCAGGAAGCATCACAATTCCTGATTTCAAACTATACTGTAAGTCTATAGTCATCAAATGAGTATGGTGATGGCAAAAATAGACAAATAGAACAGAATCAAGAGCCCAGAAATAAACCCAAGTGTATATGGTCAAAACTAATATTTATAAGGGAGACAAGAATACTCATTGGAAAAAAGATAATCTTTAATAAATGATGCTGAGATAATTGGATATTCACATGTAAAAGAATGAAACTGGACCCACATCTTACACCACTGACAAAAATTAACTCAGAATGGATTAAAGACTTTAATGTAAGACCAGAAACCATGAAACTCCTAGAAGAAAATATAGGAATAAAGCTCCTTGACATGGATTGTGGTAATGACTTTTTTGGATTATGGCACCTAAAGCACAAGCAACAAAATAAAAAATAAACAAGCAGAACTACATCAAACTGAAAAAAAGAAAAGAAAAGAAACCATCCATAAAGTGAAAAGAAAGCCTACAAATGGAAAAAATATTTGCAAATCATATATCTGATATGGCATTAATATCCAAAATATGTAAAGAACACATACAACTCAATAGCACACCAAAAAATTAGCCCAATTTAAAAATAGGCAAATGACCTGAATAAACATTTCTCCAAAGATGATATACAAAAGGCCAACAGGTACATGAAAAGATGCTCAACATCACTAGTCATTAGAGAAATGCAAATTAAAACAGTGAAATATCACCTCATACCTGTTAGAACGGCTATCATTAAAGACAAGAGATAACAAATGCTGGCATTAATGTGGAGAAAAGAAAACCATTGTGCACTGTGGGTGGGATTGTAAATTAATACAACCACTAGGGAAAAAAGTATAGAGGATTCTTGAGGTATTAAAAATAGAACTACCATATGATCCAGCAATTCTACTTCTGGGAATATGTCCAAAGGAAACAAAAACACTAATTCAAAAAGATACCTGCACCCCCATGTTCATACAATATTATTTACAATAGTCAATCTAAGTGTCCATCAATGGATGAATGGATAAAAATGTTTGGAATATAAATACAATAGAATATTATTGAGCCATAAAAAAATAGACAATCCTAACATTTGTGACAACATGGAGGGATCTTGAAGGCATCGTGCTAAGTAAAATAAGTCAGAAAGAGAAAGACAAGTACTGTATTATCTCATTTCTATGTGGAATTTAAAAAAGCAAAAACAAAAACAAAAAACCAACCAACAAAACCAAAACCAGATACATAAGAAAAGAGATCAGATTTGTGGTTATCCAAGGCAAGGGATAAAGGGAGGAGGATTAGAGTAAGGTGGTCAATAATTACACACTTCCAGTTATAAGATAAATCAGTACTAGGGGTGTAATGTACAGCATGATGACTATAGCTTACACTGCTGTATGATATATAGGAAAGCTGTTAAGAGTAAATTCTGAGTTCTCATCAAATGAGAATTTTTTTCCTTTGTTCTTTACTTTCTTTTCTTTTCACTGTATTTATATAAGAGGATGGATGGTGACTGAACCTATTGTGGTAATCCTTTCACAATATATGTAAATCAAAGCATCATTCTGTACACCTAAAACATATACAGTGATGTAAGTCAATTATTTCACAGTAAAACGAGGAATAAAAATAGACACTCTTCTCAATACCATGTGGATGTTTTAAAAATAAAAATATCATCCAGCCCCTCTTACATACAGTGGGACACATTTTAAACGTATCTACTTACATTCAGGTATGTTACCTGACTACCCCACAATTAAATTTTATCACCTCAAATGGATAAACTGCCTCTGGTAAAGCTCGATATTACAGACTGTGTGCTCTTCGAGCTCCAACAAGTCTATTCACTTTAGTCTTCTTAGTGGAGCCCTTTTTCTGTCTTCAGAAAATGCTACTCAAATTTCTGAATCCAATTAGCCCATGAATTTGGTAAGTCCTTAGACAGCAGTGATATGTAGGGGTTCTCTCTTCCAGTTTTTTTTAACTTAAACTAAATTCATAATGCCCAAGATATCTGATATTTCCTAATGCTTTCACAATAAATCAAATATATTTACGGAACAGGAATTCTGTATTAATCAAAGATAAAGTAACATTAACAATTAATGATTTGTTTTTGTTACGCTCTCCTTTTGTAAAAGAGAAGTAAGTCCTAAAAAATACCTGTGAATTTCAGGCTTTAAGTACAAAATAAAAATACAATTTCTAAGGATTCTAGATTAGGATAGTTTCAGACCCAACTCCTAATGCATGAACTATAATATTATAGTTAGAATTGCTATTTATCAGGTTGTTAAATCCCATTTTATCTTAAGGTTTTGTTTGTTGTTTTGTTTTTCACAGTACAGCAGGAAAGCAAACTGATTTATTTCAGAAATATGTTTAAAAAATGAAGAGTGAAAAAGCAATGGTTTTCCCTTCATCTTCCATTAACTAGAAAATAAATGGAACCCAGAACTTTCACTCTCTGATGTTCTGAATATTCAAGGTCTAATACCTTATCAAAATGTTGCACTACATTTATGTAAAATTTTAGCTAGCTAAGCATTCTTACATATAGTATTTCATTCTATGTAAACTTTATTATTACCTTATGATATAGGTTTCATGTGTACTGCTTTACATATGAATATAACAAAAGATCAGGGGTGCTAATGGACTTGATTGGCCAAGGTCTCAAGATGTAGGACTGGAATCCAAGTCTCCTGATTTTTGAGGCTTTTAGGGATGGATTGTAGTGGGTAGGAGAGGAGAGTATTTGTTTCAGTTACCATACAAGGGCAAATATCACTATAATAATGATATTGGACTAAATTTATTCAAAATTAAAAATTTGATAAAAGCCCATTCTTAGAAATTCATTTTAAAAATGTGAGAATTAACAAAAACATACGTGATTGCTAAAATAGCGATTAGTATGCTATTATCAAATACAAAAAAAGCACAGAACTGCCTAATCTTTACATTTATAAGATTTTGGATAATTTTTGCGGGTTGCTTCAGGTGCCTACTTCTGCAATACCAGCCACCTGCTCACAATGTGCTTAAACCATACAAGTGCATCACAAGTCATCGTAAATATAGAAAATGCATTTGCATCTTCCATTAACCAAAAGTCTGGAAAAACAGTGTGATTCAGCATCATTGGAGGAGATGAAGGAACAAACAGGTCCCTGAGAGAGTGTTTATGAGCCTCTGATGAATGCCCACAGTACTCAAGGGTGAGCTTCTCTTTTCATTCAGAAACATTACACTCTTAATGTACTGGGCCCAGCCAACACGTCTTCAGAAAATTACTCCATTTGGTCCAACCAATATTTATTGAGCAACTACAGTGCATCAGAGGTTGGGCTGCAGAGATGCAAAAATGAAGTAGGAAACCTATGCTGTCCCTTAAGTAATTTAGACATTTGTTTAGTGCCTAGATATCCTGTGTTTAAGAAACTAAGATTATTATTTTCTAAATTATTTAAACTTTTGCTTATAGTGTTACTTCTTTATATTAAGGGTAGGAAAATGTCGCACATGATTGATTTTGGTTCAATAATTTAATTTCTTGGTACAATTTCTATAAAAGAATTCTTTTTATTTCTAATGCTTCAATATTTTAAGAACTAATAAAACGAACTAAATGTTTTGTTTTTAAAAATGGAACTCAATACATTTGCTATTTTGTAATTTAGTTTAAACAGATATTTAAAAAGTCTCATTCATTTTTCTTTTAAGTTTCCCATTCTTTGGAAGCAATAATGAATATCATTAAAAAGATCGCTCTCTCCCTCTCTCTCTTTTTGTGCGTGTGTGTATAGCAAATAATTCAATGGTTTTAATTCTGAAGCCGGTGAGATCATGTCCTGTTTTCCTTCTGGCCTAAAGGTGCCTTTCATAGCCTTTCATTTTCATATTGACTTTACCCAGGACCTAGTTGGAGGTTCAATCAGTGAAATAAAATTACATTACAATTATTTCTACTTAGAGAAATATGACAGCTAGAATTTTTATGTTAATTAATCTTTGGTTTTTTATTATTGTGTGACTGCCTATCATAAATTTCCTTGCAATTCAGTTTTAGTACATTCTATAAATTATTTTAGTTTATTCCAGCATTAACCTGACTTGCAAATGGTTAAATTTGCAGAGTCTTTCATGCTCTAAACCCAGTATGCTCTGTATTAACATCTGAAGGAATGGTTTTGATATTCAGAAATAATTGTAATAGCAAGAATAAACCACAATTCACTGAATTCGTGGTCAGATTATATTCTGGTTATCATGTTAGATTCTATGTAAGTAAATTCGTACATCTTAAACATGATGAATAATAATTCACAAACATACTGATATTTTCCTCAGACTCGGACTGAAGAACAAACAGGTCGCTGCTGTTCTTCTCGAGCTTCCTCGGCCACGTGAGCTCCGCTTCCTCACCTGCATACCCAGTTAAGCACCATCTGTTTCCTGTTTTAATGTGATATCTCATAGTTTTTCCAAACCTTTCACATCAGTAAGCACAATCCTAATAGACAGTTAACATGAACTAAAAAAGCATGTTTTCACTAAAACTGTGTTCTAGTTTTCTCTCTCTCGTTCTTATTTTCTGAAATTAACGCTGCACTAGCTGCTCCAAACCCACTTTGACAGCATGAAATTCACCAGATTAATATAGGTTATTTACAGTGTATTGACTAGACTCTAGTATTCAGGCGCTGGGTGATGGGCAGTGCAGAGGCACACAGGCCTCACAAAAAAGCTGGAATTTTAAGTTTGTGTGGGAGGAAGTAATCTCCCACCTCATCTTGCCGCCTTCTCTAACATCCTTCCTTCCCATCCCCCCAGTCCCCATTGCCTTACCATGTGCAGTTATCAAAATTATGAGTGTCTGAGCAACCAGGTCAATTGTGAATCTACTTTATGTACCCTCTTTACTGGTTGTTATTGTTTTCATTTGTGACACCTTGACTGGCTGAAGCCGAGTCAATCAGTTAATGATGCATACTTTGGTTTCCCATAAATTATGGATAATAAATCTGTTTCCCTTGGAAAAGTGATTTGAGTCTCATGGAATAAATGAGTACAGTGATGTGCAAAAGACTCTAACCTTTAGTTAGATTCCAAGTATCTTCTTGCCTTCCATTCTTACTAGGTTGTGTGCTATTGATGTTATTTATGGAACTTCATTAGCCAAGAAAATTACTGGTTAAATCATTATGGAGCCTTTTGAATGTAAATTGAATATGAATTTGAATATGAATTGTTTATGAATGTCAGACACTTTGCTAGTATGGAAGATATATAATGGAATTTGGTGTTTCTCAAGCTTTGGCATCAAAATGTTAGTTAAAACAAAGAATTCTGGGTCCTACATCCTCCCAGAGTTTCTGATCCAGTAGTTGCATCATGAAGCCCGATAATTTGTATTTGCAGCAAGTTTGCCGGGGATGATGTTGCTGTTGGTCCCAGGACCAACTTTGGGAACCACTGGTACATTGTGTAGAGCTCTAAGGATGGAGCTGTATTTACTTGCATTTTAGACCTGGCTCTGCCCCTTAACAGCTGTGTGACCTTGAAAAAGTTATTAACCTCTCAAAACTTCAGTTTGCTCAGCTGTAAAATGATGGTAATACCCACTTCATGGGGTTGTAGTGAGATTAAATAAGATGATGCATGCAAAATGCTTAGCCCAGTGCCTGGATGAAAAGGCAATTCAATAAATAGCTATTCAATAAATGTCAGTATCATGCTCCTGATCTGTTTAGGGGAAAGAATGCAGTGTGGACCATTTCTGTATTTCCGTATTTCACCATACTAAATCTGAAGGAGGGAGAGGAAGCACAGACAAGTAGTGTAAGAGTATATAAAAATAGAGTAAGACTTCCCAAGAGTTAAATATAATTTAGTTTAAACACAAAGTAAATTATCCTTTTGATAGTGTGTGGCTCAGAAACTAGTTGCACTTTATCTTAGCCACTGGAATCCCATCCTAAAATTTGTTTCTATTCCACACTCAAGTTAGGTATTAGGTTGATTTCCCTCCCCTGTTTAGTTCTGGGAATCTCCAGCCATAATTAATGTATTTATTAAATTCAAACTCGTTGGGGCTGCTGGGTGGCTCAGTAGGTTAAGCGGCTGCTTTCGGCTCGGGTCATGATCCCAGAGTCCGGGGATTAAGCCCTTCATCGGGCTCCCTGCTCAACGGGGAGTCTACTTCTCCTTCTGACCCTCCCCCATCTTGTGCTCCCTCTCTCTCTCTCGCTCTCTAATAAATGAATAAAGTCTTTAAAACAGAAATTCAAACTCATCTTCAGATTCATCTAGTAAAGCATTTTGCAAATTAAAAATATAAAAATAATATATGTATTCATATTCATAATACAAATATAGTAGTATTGATATTTATATGTATATCAGTAAATTTTGATTTTATCAATATCAAAACACTTCTTGTGTGTGAATAATCAAGATTTTATATGAACTCATGGAGTTAGAAGAAATCTTAGTGATTAGTTTTCTAATGTAAACCTTGAATAGGTCACATGCATTATAAAAACACAAAATATTATTAAAAAAAACACAAAATATTATTAAAATTCTTCTAACTAAATCATAGTTTGTTTTCCAATACCAAATGTATTTTAGTGAGGACAAGCATTCTCATTACTATTTTACAGGTGAGGCCATTGACTTATAAATGTAAATGCTGTCTCAGGTGATACAAAAAATTAGAGACAAAGACAGAAGTGAAACCAAGATGTATTGAATACAAGCAGATTTTCCGTTAGCATAATTATCTCAAGTGTGAAAAGCTCTTCTGTGAAATTGTCAAGCAATAGGTTTTTGATTCATTCAGTCACTTAGCAGCCATTTACTGAGTACTTACTACATGCCAGTACAGGAGCCAGTTATAGAACTACCATACCACTGATACGACGTCAAGAATTACTATCTCCAGCAAAAAGACTCCAAGTCCTTTTGGTTTTTCATTAATTATTTGTATCACACCCACAATCTGTGCTTCCAACTTGATATTTGCAACCACAACTAAAATTAGGATCATCTTCAAAAATAAAATACTGAACACCCACTTTAAAAGTTGTTTCATGAATAAAAACTGAGCATTTATTTTATCAAGGTCTATACCCTAAAGTAAGAATATTTGCAAATACACGATTGTAAGCAAATCTGTAGATATTTATATGCAGTTATTTTCTGAATTATAAAATGTGGGCACTGGGCAAGCTGATTGTTAAGATCCCTTTCATTTTTAATATTCTGTTTCTAGGATTCAAAAGTATTTGAGATGTAAATGTGTATTGTGTTGGTTTGCCACATGTTTGACCTTAATAAATGTTCAATTTACAGGCACCTGGGTGGCTCAGATGGTTAAGCGTCTGCCTTCGGCTCAGGTCATGATCCCAGGGTCCTGGGATAGAGTCCCACATCGGGCTCCCTGCTCCTTGGGAGCCTGCTTCTCCCTCTGCTTCTCTCTCTCTGTCTCTCATGAATAAATAAATAAAATCTTTAAAAAAAAAAGTTCATATTTACTTTCCATAATTTTTTTCAAAGGAATTGATATCAGAAGCTCTATGGCACTAAAATATATAGATACAGCTAATATTTTGAGAATGTCATATAAATGGTCATATGGTATAAAGCTTTTTTAACTTCTTTTACTTGGCAAAATAATTTGGTATTCATCTATGTTGTTGCATATATCAGTATTTTTTTTGCTTTTTATTGCTTAATAGTATTCTATTGCATGGATGTAGCATAATATTTTTATCCATTCATGAGTTGATAGACTTTTGGGTTGTTTCCAGTTTGGGGCTATTGTAAAAAAGCTTCTGTGAATATTTACATAGACATGTTTATGTGGACATATGCTTTCATTTATCTGGATTACAAACATAGGAGTGAGATTATTGGATCATATGGAAAGTATTTGTTTAACTTTATGAGACACTTTTATAAGGTTGCTATATCATTTGTATTCCCACCAGCAATGTATGGGAGAAAAGAGTAAAGAATAAAATTTGGCATTCTCAAATTGTACTTATATCTATATAATCATAAGTATTTATATAGTATTTAATCACATTGAATGTATTCGGATAGTATTCATTATATTATTGTACCATAAGAATGTATTCTGTTACTCATGCAAAAAGTTATGATTAGTTTTTGGTTAGTCTTTTTCATTGCTTACCTTTAGAGATTTTTTTTCGTCATTATTACTGTGCCCTCACACCCAGAGTAGTTATTTTTAGTAGAGCAATATCTTGTTATCATGATTAAAATATTTTTTGAAAATTTTTTGCATATCACCGATGACAGGAAGAGAGGGGACCAAGGAAATTTATACGGAAAAGTCAAGGCCAAGAAAACTGGGAATGTGTCTTTCCCAACATCACAGTGTGTAGATTTAAGAGAGTAGGGAGTTCTGGCCAAGGTTGGACCAGTGTTATGTATGAATGGGTTATCAGAACTAGAGGCTTGAAATCAAAGTCAGGAACCACACTGTAAAGTCAAACTGGAGTCAAAGAGCCAAGGGGAAATTATGGCCAGGGGTATTGTGAGTGGGAATTACAATAGGCAATGGCTGGGCAAATTTTGGAAATAGAAGAGACTGACACCCTCAGTTCAATTTATTCACATTCTTTGTATGCATGTGTATGGTGGGTCAAAGTGATTTAAAGAGGGAAAGTGAACACTTGAAGAGCACAGTTATTTCCAACATTTAAAGATTTAGTGTGTTCTCTACCCAAATATGTATTACATATATTAATTTAGTTATAACTGAGGCTCAGAAATCACTCAAGATCCCTATGCCCACACAAATCAGTAGTTCTTTATTCATCCTTGTCAACCTGTAAAATCTCACAAAGATAAAACCCAAAACTTTATGAAAATAGTTCCTATTCAAAGTTTGGGTTACAATGGTTTTAAGAATTTGGCAATTCAGAACATATCCCTTACCCTTACTGAAAATCTCCTTTTATAAGCAACTACTCTTCTTTGGAGATATAATTTCAAGTTCAGACTTCTAAATGGCCATTACAGGAGCAACAAGCTGACATGCCCTGGGACTAGAAAGTAGCAGGGATGCAAGTAGAGACAAGAGGTGTGCTGGTGTTCACCCACTCTAATAAAGCACCCTAGTGGTCCTTGTGCAGGGACCATTAAAACCTACCCATGACTCAGATTCTGTTCTCAGGCACAGAGATAGGAGAAAGCCAAGAGTTTGGCAATCAAGCATGCTTGGGCCAGCTGAATCCACCCACCTGGCCCGAATAACCCAATTTATGTACCTGGTTCTCTCTCATATGCTTTCATGCTTGAGTTGGTTTCTGTAGAAGAAGTTGATTTCCCCCAAATTAGGCTCTTTTACCGATTCTTTTCCCAGAAAATAACAGGCAGAATAATATACTCATTGTGGTTGGGTCTCATGTATATTTCTGAGTGTTGAATCACCATTGGCTATGATTTTGCCAGAATTGTCTGATTACTACTATCTGTTTTTTTGGGCTCCCCAAATAGTCTTCTCTACCCAACTGTCCTGATGGTTGTTTATTGTTTTTTATCATCAGCTATCGTAGGTCTGATTATTGTCCAGATCTCAGTTATTCCCACCATATCTCATTCCAGTGCCAAATGATACTATCAATGTGCATGTGCATTTTGGGAGGGAGGGTGCATGAAATAATGGAGAAGAGGCGAGACTTAAAAGATACATTTTTAGTGGGAGAGACAGATTGGGAGGAGGAAGAAAGGCAAGAGAGCCTTCAATGATGGTATAAAGTAGATGCTCAATAAAGAGATAAATGAGAAAAGCAAACTAAAACAAAACACAAAAAGGAGTGGCAAGAAGCAGAAGAGTCCTTAAAAATATAGGGAGAATATAAGGACAAAGAAGAGTAGGAACCTGAAAAAAAGAGAAAACCAAGTCAGTGATGTGAATGGCATGCACTGAACTATAGAAAAGGGCTCACTAAGACTATAATTTCTAAATTAATATTGAAATTCAATTTGTAACTTTCCTGTCACTAATTTATACAATTCGATCTCAAATGGTATTTCTATTTTTAACTAGAACATAAGCTGACTTCTAGTAGAATTGTTGACTTTGTATCATTAAGAAGTGTAACTACTTCTCAACTGGAGTCAGGGTAAGAAAGCATTCCTTTTTGATATATAGTTTATATACTTTTTAATGTTTCTGTAAGCCAGTCTGATTTGAGGAGAGGAGGAAAAATATATCAGATAAGACTGTTCTTTTGTTTTACAGAAAGATATTAATGTGATTTTCTCCTTAGCTTGAAAACTGGAGAAATTCCATTTTACTGTGGGATGACGTTGTTATTTAAAAAGAAGCTAAGATGAGTAGCAAGAGGTTACTCTACAATGTGCCTAGTCTTGAGAACAGTTCCCTTAAGCTGTATCTCCTGGAACAAATCTATATCGAGGCTCTCCTCTTATTTCAGGACAAGCAAGTGCAATACCTGACCACAAAAGGTGTCAATATCATTAGGATAGTTCCTATTCCTTTTCAATTCCTGACTCTTACCTCGTATGTATTCCAAGAAGACAAACCAATTCTGATTTGAATCTCCCCTCCTGAAAGCCCAGCCCAGAGTGTATAAGCCACATTGTGTCTTGCTGTTTCACCCATCATCTCTAATAATCAAGATCTTGGAATCAGAATTTCACTGGTGATTTTTGATGAGGTGCAAGACAGGCAAGAAGAGAGATCTTCCCCAGCTTAACTATACTGGTACCATCGAGATGTCTGTTGTTGACATGATTTTGTCTATCAGTTATAGCTTGCTAGCATTACATGTGCATGGGAAGATTTCAGTGTACCTTTCTGCAGTCACGCCCTACTGCATGATTATACTTAAAGGGGGAGGAGATGACTGCAGCTTATCAAGAATCACCCTCCTAGCCTTAATGAAGCTACAGAGGTTGGTAATAATGGGCTACAAATTAAGACATCTCCCTATAAGTAATAATAGTAATCATCACTTAGCATCTTTCAACCAAGGATCTTCTCCTTATACATGGTTCTCATCCCATTCCTCCAGAGAAGGTGATGTGAAAGAAGAAATCTATGAAAATCTGAAAGTGATTCAAGAGTTCCAGTTTCTAGTTTTCTGGGCCCATAGTGGTATTTAAACTCCCAGGGTTTTGTCCTGGTTCTGAAGGAAAAATATGAAAGGTATGAATTAGAAACTGGAGGGTAGGGAGCAGAGGTGGTTTTCCTTGGCAGAATAAAAAATTAGGATGAAGAGAGAAAATTGGTGTATGCTGTAGAGGAGTATGCTTTCTATTTCCCACTTTCTTCTTTCTGCTGACTGGAATGCAGATGTAATGGCGGGAACTGAAGCAGCTATCTTAAAATATAAGATGAAAGTCATGTACTGGGTCCTGGGATCGAGCTCCGCATCAGGCTCCCTGCTCAGTGGGAAGCTGTTTCTCCCTTTCCCACTCCCCCTGCTTGTGTTCCCTCTCTCACTGTGTCTTTCTCTGTCAAATAAATAAATAAAATCCTAAAAAAAAAAAAAAAAGTCATGTACTAAGTATGGCTGAGCGACTAGATAGAAGGAGCCTGGTTCTGCACACTGAGATAACCATATCAGCCCTCAATTGCTTATGCTCAGATTGTTACATGAGAGAGGAATGAACTTTTATCTTGTTTAAGTAACTATTTTGGGGTTCCTTTTTAACAGAAAATTATCCTAATTAATGCACAATTTCTTCCACTCAAACATCCATTTTTCAAGGTCTCAATGCTGCTTCTCTGAAACATTTACTGTTTTTCAGTTTCAGGGAATGTTGTTATTCTAAATGCCCTGCCCATTTTGTCTCATCTCTTCTTTACGGTTCACTGGACTGTCTCCTCAAATGTCAGCTTCTCTATATGGCCTTCTCTGATTCCCCAAGTGAGTTAGTTATGACCCCATCACCACTAGAGTAGGGGCAGGATTGTAATTATAGCTTTGCATGTGTGCCTCTACCCCCACACTCATCACAGTCACAGATCCTGGCCCTTGGTAGGTACTAAGTAAACAAGAACTCTTGTTAAATGATTTCTCCAGGCTTCAATGGACTTGCTTTTCTCTAAATTCTCATCTTCTCCAGTTTTCTCTACCACAAAACCTAGCACACTTGGATATTTTTTATATTCTAAGGCTTTCCAAAAGTTTTGGAATATACCCCACAGTTCTCAGAAATAATCAACTAGCAGTCAGGGGTTAACTTGCCCCCAGGGGATCAAAGGCAAAATTCAAGATTATTCTCCACAAATCACTATTTCACAGTCACCCTAAAGTGGTGAGGCAATATTATTTCAAGGGCCTCCTTTACAGGCAGTATTGTTTGTCTTTTCCACAATT